GCTCTGAAGGTGAAAAACGAAAAAAATTATTTTCTTCAAAAATTATTCAAAAATTCTTTATGAAAAGCCGTTCGCATGTGACATTATGAGTTATACAAAACTTCTGCGTCATTAAAAAGATTATTTAAAGTTTTTTTTTCAATAAGAGAAGACCTGGAAATCAGGAAAAAAGTAACGAAATGCTTCGAACTTTAAATATATAAATAACTTTGTAAAGTTACTACAAAAAGACGGTATCTACAGTAACTCTAGATAACATTGTCTATACATGCTTCTATAAGGCGAAACTACCGTAACTAGAAGTTACAGTACCTCAAACAATTTACGGTACTCTAAAACTCAAGTAAACTATCAGAAACCTCAAAATCACCCTTTGGAGCGGATTTGATCCATAAAAAATCACCTACAGTACTTTCAATCTACCGTACCTGAGAAAAAAATACAGTAGCCTAGAAGAAAAAAATACAGTAGTCATTGAATTCACGGTGTCCTAAAAACTAAAATAAACTATCAGAAATCTCAAAATCAACCTTTGAGAGCGGATTTATTCTAACGTCTACAATCAATGCAACCTACCGTAACTAAGAAAAAAACTACAGTATCCTAGAAGCTCAAAAAGCTCAAAACCAACCAAAATAAAATAAAATCAAGCGTCACGATGCGCACTTTTATTATCACCAAAAATTTGCCCAAAAATAGAACTTTTAGCAGTCTCCAAAGAAGATAATCGGGCAAGAAAAATATTTTTATTTTTCGGAAAATTTTCATAAAAATTGGCCCACTGGGAGCCTCGGAAAGTGTAAAGGTATTTTTGAGAATAAAAAGTGATAAATGGCCTCAAAATGGGGCTTTTAATGAACACGAGCCTAAGTGCCAAAACTCATGAAAACCGCTTTTTTTCAGGTTTTAAAAAATTGGTAAAGTGGTTTTTTGTTTCTTCATAATCTAAAGTGGTCACGTTTTTCGTGGTAATGGATAGTAAAAAAAATTTGGAACTTTGACCTTGTTTAAGTGAGATTTCTGTTTGGAAAAGTTAAAAATCATGATTTATGAGGTCTTGAATGATTTTTTCCTTTTGGCTCTTTGTGAGAATTGAAATTCGAGTTAGACACATGTTAAGCTTTCTAAGGCTTCTAAATTTTTATATGATATTCAAAAACCCCGTAAAAAAATTCTGAACTTTAAAAAAACTTCCAGAAGTGAAAAAAATAGACATCAGCCTCGTTAAATCGACATTTTTGTCACAAAAAAACTGAATAAAAAGGGTAAAAATTTATTTTTTGTAAATCACAGAAATTTTCTTGTTTTTCTACAACAAAATTTTTACATACCCTTTACCGATCACAAAAAAATAAAAAAAGTGAAAAAAAACTAAAAAATTTGGAACTTTGACCTTGTTTAAGTGAGATTTTTGTTTAAAAAGTCAAAAATCATGATTTCCGAGGTCTTGAATGAAATTTTTATCTGCTCTCAGTAAGAATTAAAATTCGAATTGGCTATATTTCTAGCTTTTTGAGGTGTCTAAGTTGTTAATAACATTAAAAAAATTCAGAAATAAACATTTCAAATTCCTATATAAGAAGAAAAAAATAGACCTTTGTCTCGTTAAATCGACATTTTTTTGTCACAAAAAAACTGAATAAAAAAATGTTCGAAAACTAATTTTTTTGAAAAATCGCAGAATTTTTTTCTTGTTTTTTTCTACAACAAAATTTTACATACCCTTCACCGATCATAAAAAAATAAAAAAAGTGAAGAAAAAAACCAGGAAACCTTAAATTCCTCTCAAAGTGTTAAAAAGAATATTGGCTAGCTCTTTTTGCCTTTTCATGACTTTTTAAATGGTCACAGTAGGTTCTGAAGAGTCCACTTAAGTAAATTATTAAGATAAAACTTTTTGTGGTCGCGTCGTGGCTCTAAGAGATCACTTAAGGGAGTTCATATCCCTCTTGAGGTCACTAGATAATTCGGAAGCTCAGAAATGTCCATTTTCCGATTTTCTCGCCTCTCTGAACGCCTTTCTCTGCACTTTTAAAATTCCTAGATACAGTATGAAAGTTTTTAAAAATCGACCTTTTCTCGTAAAGTGAGCAATACTGAGCAAGAAATCTCCTCTCTAAATTGAGATACTTCAAAGATCATTTTCCTCATGTTCTGTTAGTTGGAAAAGATTTTCCGGATGCGCCTCATGAGACCTCCCGGGAGGTCCATATATCTTTCAAAGGCTGGGGGGAAAAAACGGGCAATAGAGCAACTCTTCGGACTATTTTTTCATTGTTGAAAGGAATTTCGGCTTTTCATCAAAATTTTTGAGATCTTTGAATTTTCGTGAGTTCGTCGGGTTAAAAGCAACGTCAAAATCTCACATTTTGTTTAGACATTTCTAAAAGTCGGAAAAATAGTTTTATCAATGGATTTTATGATTTTAATAAAAATTTGACTAATGGTCACTTAAATGAAAAATTAAAAATTCAGAGGACTTAAGAATTTTTGAAATGAAAAAAATTATACCTTTCCATTTTTTTACGGACATGGGAGAACCGACATCTCCCGAATTATACATTTTCCAGATTTTATTAACTTTTTTTTATGAAAAAAACAATTTTTTTCCTGTCAGATCTCAGTGCAAAGCTTAAATAAGAATAATATATTCAGCTTACTTGAAAATCAACCCGTCATTTCTACCTAGTGACCACTCAAGTGATCTCTTAACGGTACCGCCACATTCCCATCAAGCCCCAGACACAAAAAGCGAAGACACAGCTTTTTTGGCCGAGGTGGCTCAGTGGCTTAGAGGTCGGCGGATCAGCCAGCCGCTCGTCGGTTCGACTCCTCCCCGTGGGAAAAATTATCCTCAAAGTTTGCTCCGACATAAAATGACGTTTCCTCGTTTTTAGTGGGCAAAAAACTAATAGAGAAAGGATCTACGTGGATATTTCTCCATTTCGATCAAATTTGGGGAGTTTTGAAGTAGAAATTCAGTTTTCCTTCAGCCTCATAACAAGAAGAAACTTTTTTTCCACTCTAAAAATGGAAATGAACCCTTTTTAAGAATGACAAACGAACGAAATTCAACAATAACTATGTAATATTCTAATTTTCCCTCCATTCAAAGACCTTTTTTTCGCATTAAACCTTCAAAAGAAACATCAAAAAAAGTGCTTTTTGGAGTTTCGAAACCTTCAAAAATAGCAATTATCTTTTCAAAATTACAACTTTCGAAGCTGGAAAAAAATAGTGAAGAAGCGTTAAAAAAAGATGTGAAAATATGCAAACGAGGCAATTTACATAATTTTTCTGATGGAACAGCCGTTTTTTTCTTGTCTCTCTCTCTACTTGGGTTGTTCAATGAGTTCGTTTTTGAAAAAAATTGGATATTTAAAAAAACGAAAAATTATCCAGAAGATTTTATTAAAGAATCACAAAAAAATACTTCCAAGCTTCATTTCAAGAAATTTGACATAGTTAAACAATCCGGTCGCATTTGTAATGGATGAGTTGGTGTTAAAGTTTCGCCAACAACATTGGAAAAATGTTTAGTGGCCACTTTAGGGTTTCCAAGTTCAAGTGGCCACTATAGTAGTCGAATTAGTGGCCACTTTAAAGTCTCAATAGTACTTATAGAACACATAATGCTCGAGTGGCCACTTAAAAGAAAAATAGCGGTTTCTATAAAGATATTTTTAGTGGCCGCTTTAGTGTCCTCTCAAAGTAGTCCTTAGAGGACCTCTCAAGTGGCCACTAGAGTTGTTTCCAATAGAGCCACGCGAAAGTCGCTTTGAGTCCGGCGCAAAGCTTCGAGCAACTACCAATGCAAAAAACATGTCATAAAGCGCGAAAATGTCTATGAAACTTAGGAAAATAAATAGGAATTCGCAAAAATCAGCTACTTTCAAAAAAAAAAAACACAAAAAATCTAGCTTCCTTTCAAAAAAACCGCAAATTACACTCATAAATCAATGCGCAAAACGCTCTATAAAAATAATAAGCTGGCGTCTTCTTTTTTCATGAATATATTCAAACGCAAGCTATTTTTTAATCTCGCCTATAAAATTAGAACTCTCGCCAAAAAGTCATAAATAACTACTGAACTCTAAAAAAATCTCTTTTTTTCGGAAAACCTATTTTCCTATAGGGAAAAAAAGAGCCAAAAAGTCACTCAAAAATTGAAATTTTTAATTGATTTACCATAAAAACAATTCAAAAATTTATATTATCCTAGATTTTAGCTTTGTTTTTCTAGATAATTAAAATTCCCCCTTGATGTTGAAATTGGCAAGTTTTTTATAGTAAGTTTTCTCCAGGTAAAAGATAACCCACCATTATTTTATGAACTTTTTTTCTTTCAAAATAAAAAAAAATCTTTCGTAATGCTTTGAAATAAAAAAAAACTAGCCCATAATCATTTTATCGTTATGAGTGTTTCGTAAAACTCTATTTTCTGTTTTTTTAAATTTTCAAAAAAAGCTTTCGTTGAGCCTCAAAAAAACTTGGAAACTCAATTTTCCTTAGAGAAGTATCAAAATGAACTGCAAAAAGTGAATTTTTTTCAAGAAAAAAAATTTTCAAGACTAGAAAACTCTTCTCCGTAACTGAATAAAGCTCAGACTCGAAAAAAAAGAAGTAATCATTTTGAAAAACCTCGAATTTAACTGAAATCTAGTTCCTTTTTGAAAGGCTTTCCAAAAAAAAATCTTTTAAAACAAATTTTTGAACTCCTCACTGCAAAAATTTTCAACAAAAACCCTACTGAATACATTGATTTTGTTTCAAAAATTTAATTAAGAAAAAAATGTTCATAGATATCTGCCTCATTTCACCAAAAAAGGCCTAGGAACTCAAAAACCTTGAAGAAGTGATAAAAAAGCAAAGGTACAATTTAAAATGTACTTCCTAAAAATAGAAAAGAACGCCGAAATTCCAAGATCCGTCAAAGAAATTCGCCGAAAAAAAGGTGGAAAAATGTGTTTCACATTTTTTTTTTCTTGCTTCGACCCAGAATGAAAACTCCGCCCACTCTGTCACATTTCGAAGGGTGCCAAGGAGGTTGCCAGAAAGAGGACCAAGGAGGAGAAGGAGGACGAAAAGAAAGACTCGAAAGAAAGAGCACAGAAGAAAGTGAGCAGAATGAATGGGAAGGGGGCGTGGCAATAATCGCCGCCTCGGCCGCAGCTCAGCTTCACCTTCTTCTTCTTCATCATCTTGCGGACAGGTGACGAAGGGGAACTTTTTTTGAGTGAAATGTTCGCAAAAATGACAAAGGGGCTGCAGGAAATATCCCCCAATTTATCTTCTATAGAAAAAAGTGAGTTCAACTGTAAATTCGTCACTTTAAGTACTCAAAATTCACTTGAGCCACTATAATGACCGCAAAAACCTCTATAATCTCAGTAAATCCAATCAGAAAAAGAAATCATAGAAAACTAAATTAGAACTCTGAAATAACGGCTAGAAACTCTAGGGTTCTAAGACTTCCACTACAAAAAGTCTCTGGAGCATCCTTCGACTTTTCAAAAGTCTAAATCCCTTAAGCGGTCCCTAAACACCTCTCAAGGTCTGAAATTTCCATTTTAACCCTAAAGTGATCTCTAGAATCTCTTCTTCATCATTTTGCGGACAGGTGACCAAGAAAAACTTTTTTTTTACAGTGAAATGTTCGTAAGATGAGATTAAAGCCGCGGGACACTCTCAAGAAAAAACTTGATCCTTAAGTGGCCACCTGAAATTCTAAAAATGTATACTTCAAAATCTAATTGACCACGTAGCTCTATACTCATACTTTCTGCTAAAAAAATTTAAACTTTTAAATCTACAATTACATTCCTAAATGGACTCTAGAATCTATCAAGGTCTAGGTCATCTACTAGGAATGCTATAGTGGTCACTTGACTGGCAGTAGTTTCCTACAGTGGCCACTTGAAATTTTCAAGTTCTAATTACTGTAGTATTTTGCAGAAGCTACACAAAACTAGAAAGTCCACTTGAAACCCTTTAGTGACCACTAGAACTTTGCAGACAGGGGACGGAGGAGAGCTTTTTTCGAGTCAAAGCATCAGAAGGAGGACAAAGCTGCAAGTTTCTCAACTGAGAAAGAAAATTTCCTCGAAAATGTCTGAATAGAATGTTGTTGGAGGTTGGAAGGATGTTATAAATATATATTTAGAAGATTATCAAACTGTGCTCTCGTTTTTTTGTGTAAAAAAATCTAAAAAAATTATGGTTTGAAAACTTATCAATCTATTCTTGAAGACGAAATCAGTTACTTGAAAAGAGTTTTAACAGAAAAAAAGAGACTTCAATGATAAGAACTCCAAAAAAATTTCTTGTAAAAATAATTTTAGTAGTACTCTCAAATGATTTTCTCCACGACTGCTCTAACACGTGAAGTCAATTCACTTAACTGTTTGGAATTTTCTAAAATTCATTCCAAACACTCTCTTAACGTCTAAATGAAGATCCTTCAGAGTCTGTATCTGAGCCAAAGTTTTGAAAAAAATATTATTCAAGTTCGAGAAATTCGACTTGAATCCATATTTCGCAACTTTAAAAAATCGTATCTTAAAAACCAGAAGTTTTACTATGTGAGATCTTCATCTAGACCTTCCAAGAGTGTGGTTGGATCAATTTATGGAAATTCCAAACACGAAACTAAAATAATCTCTCTACCGAGGATCCGAAAATATTCCTTCTATTTTTTTGGTCCTAAAACTTTCAAATCAAAATAAAATCTACCTTCGAACCTAACGCACAAAGAAATATTTTCTATACCTCATAAAAATGCAAAAAAAAGAAAGGTTTGGAAGGAATTCTAAAAATAGCCAGAACATCGCAGTGAAACGTTCAAAATAGCATCCAGATGTACAGAAAAACTAGTCCGAAACCGATCGAGTATCCATAAAAATACGTCAGAAAAGTAGGAATTTATGGGTTCCGGTCCATCTTTGCATTCACAATAACTTTTCTATTTTTTTATACATTTGTTATGCGCCACCCTGATAGGAGAATCACCCAAATTTATAGCCTTTCCATTTTTTTTCTCATCGTTTTCAAAAAAACAGGGAAAAACTGACCTTTTTGAAATCGCAGAAGATCGTTCTTGTCCGAATATCTCCATTTTTTTCTTCTTTCCCTTCATTTTCGGATTCTAAAAAAATACTGGAAAAAGTTTTTTTAAAATGGATTTCTAAAATTGAAATTCAAAGATTAACCTTTCCACATCAGTTTCTGTACCTTTTTCTTGAAGTAAAAACCCAAAAAAACTCATAAATCAAGCTCCAAAAAAATATTTTTTTAAGAATATCTCAAAAAATCAACTTCTATGATGCGGATCTTTTTTATCCTCGATTTTTTTATCCGCGAAGCAGAATTTCCGACAGTTTCAGGGTTTTCTACTTTTTTTATAAGTCATCAAATTCAAGAAAATCTTTGAAAACCAAAAATCTCGAAAAAAAGCCATTTTTTTCGAATTTACAGCCTTATTCATAATGAAAAATTCAATTAATCTCAGGAATAAGTCCGATTTAAAAACCTTTCAGCTTGATTTTGGCCTTATCAATTCTTATTTTTCAAAAAAAAAAGTTTTTTTTACAATGCCTCTAGAGAGCTCCTAGCAAGAAAAAGGCCTTCATAATAAATATTCATAAAATTCCCCTGATGCTTTTCTTTATACCTTCGACAACAAAAACTAAATTCATCAATAGTTTTTGTTTTTAGTGCATCCTTCTTCATAAGAAAAGGCAGGCCTTCGCAAACTTGTTGGCGCAAAACGAAAAAAAACGGTATATTTGCAAAATTTACGCTCAATTTTTCAACAGATCGTTAAGAATAAGAGAAGACGGGATTTCACAAGAAAAAGGATGTATCAAGCAAGTGGCGAAAGAAAAAGGCAATCCAATAAATAATTAATTTCCAAATTTGTGGTGGTACAATTAAAACGCATTCGTCTCATTTTTTGGCACAGTTCGAGAAGAGAATTCATAGAAATTGCATGAATAGGATTGCACAGAGATACAAAATAAGCATGGATCGATTCAGACTCTTTTAAAAATCTCAATTTTCTCTTTTTTTTTATCTGTTACGTTTGGAGCTTTTCATAAAGCTTTAAAAAATATAAAAGTTGAAGAAAAATAGCCATGGAGCGCACTTAGAGCCTAAAAAAATCGCTGTGATTCCTTTTCTAAGGCTGCAAATGATTTTGAACCACCTTCCAACCTAAAAAATGAATATTTTTTATTATTGCTACAGATTTCAAGCCTAATTTCGAGTTTTTTTAAAAGATTATCAGTAGAGCGCAATCAGAGTTCAAAAATCCGCCTTATGGATAAGCTTGAATATCGCGCAACAATTATTAATAGAGCGCATATTAAACCAAAAAACGGCCATTTTTAACTAAAATCCAGAACTTTATCACTGGAGCAGAATCAGAACGCAAAAATCGCCGTCTATCATTTTCAAGCCACTGAAATGCAGAATCGATCCATACTAATGTAAAAAAAACCCTTTCAGACTTAAGAAAGAGACCTTCAATGAGAGAAAAAAGCTCTAGAACCCAAGTATCTCGTAGAATCAAGGCAGAAGTTAAAGCATACATCAGATCGGAGTAGAGAGGGTAAAAAAAAAGGTTAGTAATTTCTGTTCCGCATCAAACTTTGCTGATGTAGACAGTTTCAACGAGGCTGCTCGTGTCGTCGTGTTCCTCCAGCAACGTCTTCATTTGCTCGTAGCGTTCCCTCAGAAGTTGGCCGTTGTTCTTGGTGACGCCAGCGAGAATGCAGGTACCGTTCTGGAAAATCCTCATTTTGGTCCCTACAAAGAGCATTTTCTAGTGGTTTACTCTTGTAAAACTAGGCAGAAATTTCCTTGAGGTACTCGCAAAACTTCTAGAAAAATTTTCTCACAATAGATTTTTTTGACGTGTCAAAGATCGCCATCCACAAAATTATAGAGCAAAAACGTTGTTCGAATCTTTTAAAACATTATAACTCGAAAATATGTTTTTCTAAGATACGCCCTCTTAGAGTCTGGACCCTAAGTGGTTCCTACAGGGTTCTTTTAATTTTTCGTTCACTGTTCAAAATTTAAAAGACGTGTTTAATAAAACTAGATAGATTATTCCTGTTTTAACTATTTCTCCTACAAGAATGGCTGATATATTAGGTTTTTCTCATGGAAATGCCGACTCTCATAGAGTTCATAACAATAAAAGTCTTGCACATCCCCTATAGAGACCACTAACTAAATCAACGCTTTCTTAGGAGTCTGTAAAGGCCAGATAAAAGAACGGCTGCTCTAGGGGACAAAGTAGTGATCCCTATAGGGGCGAATGCTTCTTCTTATAGGTTCATAAAAACAAATCACTATCACTTTCCCCATTAGAGGTCCCTTTTACGAGCTATAGTGGTCCCTATAGGGAGAGGTTTTTACCTTCAAGGGTCTTTAAGGTGCCCCTTTAGGGACCGCTCCTGTGATCCTAAAAATTAAAAACATTTACCCATTCTCTCTAAAATGAAAAAGGACTCCAAGCGTTGGAGTTATTTTAAAGGTGATAAAGACTTTTCTAGTTCAGAAATTCTTATTTTTTTCTGTTTTTAAAAGAAAGACTATTCATCCTTGATTTCATAACGAGAAAACTCGAATTTCTTGATCGCAATCTTTAAGAATCCCTCTTTCCAAACCTTCCGCCACCGTTTCGTGTTGACAATCGCGTCGAGCATGTCAAAAACGGCCTTGACAGTTTCCGGGGCGTCCCATTCGGCTTCCGAAGAGCAGAACATTGGGTACACGAGCTGGAAAACAGAAAAACTTTATTGAATAATCGATAAATTTCATTAGAACCAAGGTAGAAGGCGTCGTGCATGTCGTATTTCCCCACAAGGTGACGGCTTTCATGACCGCGTTGCGGACGTTGATCAGCATCGCTCGATTAGCCGCATCGCCTTCTTCGTCTTTCGGGTGGTTCTGAGAGGCCGAATGGGGACAGACGAAGAAAACTTCTGGAAGATTCAAACTGCGAATCTTTGGACAATTACATTCTGCATTTATTTGAGCTAAAAAGAGACGTAATTTTATTCTACAGTTGTAATTTCTTAAAGTTTGGCCATATAACTAATTGATGAACCCAAAAAAGATCCTGGGATGTTCAAATTTCAAACTTTCATATTTTTCTTGAAACGAAGGCTAAAAGCTACAAAATGGTCTATTATAACAGATTTTTCAAGTTTTCTTCGGCTTTTTGGTGTTTTCTCATAAGCTAGGGAATTGACTCTGAATATACTTTTTCTGGTACATCGATGAGTTTTCTGGACAATTTTCAGGGAACTTTCAACTTCTAAGTTGAACTCCTTCCTTTGTAAAATCTAGAAATTTTTTTTTCTGAAAATTGAATCTCTTTGAACCCATATTTGGCCTCCTTACCAGGTTCAGATCCAATTAACGATCCACCGCCCTCAGCCGGAAAAGAACTGACAATTTCGTAGCGAATTTTTCCAGCCATCGCGTCAGTCACTATTGCGCTGGCCGTTGTTGAAACTTCAAATCAACAAATTAATAATTTTCTATCAAACTCCATTGTATTACAAGGCTTCCCATCAGGCAGGACATCAACAGCAACAGCGTCGAAACCAGGTCCTTCTTCAATTTCAGGCATATCAACCTGAAATATAGCAAAATAATGATAAAAAGCTTGTTAATGAAAACGAAAACCGTGTCATTCGAATCATTCAACCTGGCTCGCCTTCTCGATTTTTCTTCACCAAACATTTGGATGAGTTCTGTCGCCGTGTGCTCACTGACCGTAATGTGATTGACAAACTTTCGCACACGATCTCAAAAACAACAATTATACTGAAAAACGTTGAGAAAAAGAAAATAATCGGTTTTTTTACGACTTAAAGGCTCAAACTGTTCCAAGATGTGTTGAATAAGCTGTTTTTCTTGAAATTAGAAGTCGAAACATTTTCAAGCTAAAATTGGCAGTCCCAAAATTTTTACGAACAAAATGGCAGTCCCAAAACTTAGGAGCAAAAAATTGGCAGTCCCAAATTTTTTAAACGCCAAAATTGGCAGTCCCAAATTTTTTGAACGCAAAAATTGGCAGCCCCAAATTTTTTACGAACAAAATGGCAGTCCCAAATTTTTTAAACGCCAAAATTGGCAGTCCCAAATTTTTTGAACGCATAAATTGGCAGTCCCAAATTTTCCACAGGAAAAAAGTGGCAGCCCCAAAATTTTTACGGGTTAAAATTGGCAGTCCCAAATTACAAGTACATAACAGAAAAACTGACTATTTTTCCCTGCCTGTATTTTATTGAACAGAATAAATACGTTTTTTGTCGTCTTTCAGAAATTTCCAAAACTCACCTCGAATTTCGTTCTCACGCCTGTGTGCTCTGCTCGTGTTCAACGTCGTGTTCCCCTCGTTCATCGAGCAATTTCCAAGCGTATTTCTTCGATTCGTCTCGTTTCCTGAAAAAAAAAGATATTTATTCAAATTTTCAGACTGAATCTATACCAATTTTCAATAAGCTGCTCCCACGCCTCACAATTGTATTGTTCTTTTTCTTCTCGGGAGTCGTTCGATCCTCTAGATTTATTTTTCATAGATAGATAATTTTAAAAAAAGAACAACAAAAAAAAAATGAAAGGTAAGAACTTTAATAATATCTTGAAGCGTTAATTCAGAAGATTATTTTCACCCAAACTTTTTTAAATTTAATTTGCTTTTTTTCAAGCTGTAAAAAAAGGCTCAACGGCACCAAAAACAACCATTTCTCCAAAAAAAGAAATTTATAATTATTTTTTATGACTTCGAACACTATTTCTGCTCATTTCCTATACGCTAATATACAAACCCTGTGTCTGTGAAGACTTTCGGAAAAGCGCCGAAATCCTCTGAATATTCGAAGCACTCGTTGGATTCCGCTTCATCTTGCTGGATCCAACGGCGACGCTCGGATTTGGCAAGATATTCGAGGAGAGGGAGGCGCGACGGGAAACACTTTTCGTTTCCATCACTAACGAGTCATCCAGTTGAGGTTGCGGCTCGCCGTCTTCTGGAAAAATTATTTCTTCGAACTTAGGACTGCCAATTTTCAGCTAGAAGAGTTTGGGTATGCCAATTTTTCGATTGAAAATGTGGGACTGCCAATTTTGAGCTTAAAATTTTGGGACTGCCAATTTTCAGCTAGAAAAGTTTTGGTATGCCAATTTTTCGATTGAAAATGTGGGACTGCCAATTTTGAGCTTGAAACTTTGGGACTGCCAATTTTCGATTTAAAAATTGGGACTGCCAATTGTTAGCTCGAAATTTTGGAATTTCCAAGAACCATTTTTTAAGAACCATTTTTTTGTTGAAATTGTCCTTCATTTCTAAACTTAATCCCCTTTCTCAAACTCACCACAAAACATCGACGTCCCACTAACTGAATTGCCCGACGGAGAATCACGCGCTTTGCCCGACTTATTATTACCAAACAGGTACGACTTCACCTTCCAGAGGGATCGGCGGCGGCCCTGAAACTAATCAAAATAATTTCTTCAAGAAAAGAAGAGCGTCACCATAGAAGAAGGCGTATGTGAGTGGTCAGAGGTATTGATATCCTCAGCAGAGGAGAAGTTATCGAAGAACTGCTGGCCATCGACAAAGTGTTCCTCCTCGACGGGCGGCTCGAGACGCGGGTTCCGGTGATCGACGACTTCTTCCTCGGGAACGTCTTCCATCGAAGCAGCCGTGATGATCCGCTCACGCATTCTCAAGGATCTTTGCCTTGAAAACACCCCTCCGACATCGGAAATTGAAGATTGGGCGCGGCGGACGACGCTGAAATAATATATTATGAAAAACCGAAAGAAAAATGTCGGAATGACACATTCAAAACGGTCAAACAAAGAGCTAAAAGTTGTAAAACTAGTCCTCTGAGTTTTCCAAATTTTAAATAGCAAAGATTTAAATAAAGTTTTTGAGCTGAAAGCTTAATCTAAGAGCGTAACTTGAGGGCCTGAAAATGAGCCGAAAAGGTGCAAAAAAGGGACCGTTGTGCGTCTAATTTTGAACATTTGTTTTTTCTCCGATCTTCTAAATATGCGACAAAGACAATAGTAATATTATGACTTTTTATGATCGAAAAAACTAGACGAGCAAAAGAAAATTGAAATAATCTCAAACCTATTGCACAGGCCTCGAACCAAGGGTGTATCAATGTCATAAGACTCGGGAACACTTCGGGACGAAATTCGGCCGGCAGATCCCCGTTTCAGACGTTGTGGGGTGCAGTAGGAAGCGACGCTGAGCGAATCGACGTGTTCATCTTTGATTCCAGCCGAACTCGTATTTGATTCCACCTAAAAAACTTTCTTTAACTTTATCCATTCGGTAAAAAAATTTAAAAAAAAGCTAGTAAAAGAAAGTTTTAAAAGTGCGTGTGGTAAGAAAATGAACAAGAAATAGTATACACCATTGAAATTCGAGCAAATTCGTGAAAATATCAATAAAAAACCTCCCTTGCAGATGTGTTTGAAAATGCAGAAGCTTTGAAGGAGATAGAAAGAAAATAAAAAATAAAAACTCTTCCTTGTCCTTCACGAAATTTATATATGCTACTTCAACGTAAAAACAAGATAATTTCAATTCACTACAATGAAAACAGAAATGGGTCTTCCTTAAGGGACCATCAAAGAAGCATTAGTATTTTCTCATTTGTAGCATTCTTTTTCTATGGACTCCTTGAAGAAACCTGAGTTCGTTCCTCTTTTTTCCACAACAAAAAATGAGAAATTATTAAAAATCTCACCACGCTGATATCATCCACAGCCTCAGGCTCAACTTGATCATTATTACTGACACTTTTCGCCAGCGGTAAATGGGCTTCATTGTGGACAAAAGCTCGCAAATCCGCGTTTCTTTGTAAGTTAACGGCGATTCCATCGGAGACGGCGCTCTGAGAAAAATAAGTCTTATTCACAAATGAATCATTTGATTCATACCGATTCACTGGCGTGCGAGATTTGCGAAACATCGCTTTGATTTTGGACGCCGTAATCCAACTGCGAAGAGGATCCTTCTTTATTTCTCACCTTTAAAAACAGATTGCATCCATATTGAATGACTTTAATACTCACTTTAAGTGTTGAAGTGCTTTTGAGCATTTTTTTAAGGCCGCCAAGCCAACTTTTACGTCCCGTATGCATTTGATTTTGGTCATCCGCGGCGCTCTTAAAACACATTTTTATGATTTCACAGCAACAATGTTCCGGAACGGACCTCAAACCATGGCCTCTCCTTCTTCGACGGCAATTCGCAGGACGTACTGCCGCATGTATCAAGCTACAAAGCAAATGAGAATGATTAACGAATTTAAATGATATATGCACGTACAACAATTTTTAAGTCTATTAGAATTCTCAGAACTATTTTTACAGGATTTTTGTTGCTGGTTTGTCTAAGTAGGTACTGGTTTTTTTTTATCATGTGCGAATTAAACTTTCAAACAGTAATTTTTTCTGAGACTTTTGCTACGTGAGGCCTACATTTCGACTTATAAAAACGGAAATTTTTTTAGGATAAACTTACTTTAACGTCCGACTTCCTCTTCTTGGTTGTTACCGACATCTCTTCAATCTGGTACCACAATTTTCGGAGAAAACAGGTTTTAAAACAGTAAAATGAGTTTGAAAAAAAGGGAAAGCGCCAGAAACTTTTTTGAAAACTCCGAACTGGCGCCCTGTCGGTGGGGCACACTTTCTCCGACGCGTTTTTTCTTGCGGAAAAAAAAGAAACTTGCTCCGGAACGCAAAAATTCCCAGTTTAAAAGAACTTTGAGGCATTTTTGAACTATTTTCTCGTTTTCAAACGCCATATAATTTCATTGCACAAAAGTGGAACCACCAAAAATAATAATTTATCAACTTTTCGAGTACAAAAACACTGACAAGAGTAGGAAATGAGTAGAGAAGCGACATAGTAAGAGGAGAGGAACACGTTGAGCACCAAAAAAAATGGCAAAATAAAATTAAAAGTCACGAGAGGAAAGACACCGGACCAAATAATTTTACAGCAATTTTTTTTCTCGTTGCAAGGCTTTGAATAGCAAAAATTCATTCAAAAGCGGTTTCTGACGACGGATTGATGTTCAACGTTTCCTCGAGCTGCTGACTGAAAGTACTAATTGTATTCAACTCGAGAAGAAAAATAGACCAGACATCTTCAGCCATGTCCTCAGTAGTGATTGACGGATCAACGCTCATCACCCAGTCCCAGATGCGCTGCTCCGAGGCGCTCCCTGTAATCGCTGATTATTCAAATTTCTATTAACATTTTTCGTTTACAAAGATTACTCAGAAAAGTTATAAATTAAAAAAAGCTGATATCAAATTTCTAGTTCAATAAACGCAGATAGTTTTTTTCTAGAAGTGTTAATAATCTATTCGAAAAATCTTTGCTATGTTTAAGTAAACTTAGATGGAATTTTAAAAAAAGTTTCGAGAAAAAAATTTTTCTGTGCTATTTGGCAGCTAAAAAAATCTTCGACAACTAATTTGGCAGTCCCAAAGTCACCAATCTCCAAATTGGCAGTCCTAAATCTTACGAACTAAAAATTGGCAGTCCCAAATCTTACGAACTAAAAATTGGCAGTCCCAAATCTTACGAACTAAAAATTGGCAGTCCCAAATCTTACGAACTAAAAATTGGCAGTCCCAAATCTTACGAACTAAAAACTGGCAGACCCAAACTTACCATTATCAAAATTGGCAGACCCAAAATTACCAATATCAAAATGTGCAGTGTCAAACTTACCAAAGAAGTCCCAAATTTCTGTCATTAATTAATACAATGAAAAAAACTACAAGACCCAATAGGAGAAACTTTTTTTCATCACTCCCAAACCAACTACACAGTTCTTCAAAAAGAAACGCACGCTGGTACACAAACGCGTTGGAATGGTTCATGGTGAAGGGGTTGGCGCGTTCAGGAAACTCATTCCTCGGCTGCTGAGCGTTCGGTTCCTCGTTGCCGTTCTCGTAGAGCCAGGCCTGCGGACGGTACGGATGCGTCGTCTCAACTTCGTTCTTGCTCACGGCGGCACACTTGCGCAAGGCGTTGATCAGCCATTTGCTTGAAAAAGTATTATTAAGTACAATACTAGACCGGAAACGCTACTAAACTTAAAAAATGAGCTGAAAAATTAGACCCGCCCTCAAAATCACCTGATCTGGACGCTAGACTCAAAAGAAGGAGTTCTCGACGTCGGAGGCGGGTTAGACACCTCCCAAAACCAAAAAATTTTCAATTTTTTTTCGTTTTGAAAATCACCGTGAAACACCCATTCAATTCCTGAATCGAGATGATGAAATCCTCGACGCACATCACGCGGCTGAGACAAATCGACGGCGTTCCACCTTGATATGAGGAATTTTTTTCGATTTTTTTCCCCTACCAACCTGTGGTTCTCAGTTCACTAATCTGGCGCAGCCAATGAAGGATCGCCGCGAACTGGCAAGCTGGCACCTGAATTTAGCCCTTTTTATGTAAATATTTTTCCTAGGACTTAGTAAGAGACAGTTCTCAAAGTTAAGTTAAGTACATACTATTTTGAAAGTTGAATAGCCTATATGATTCATTCAAAATTCTTTCTCGTGATTACCCATTTCTTCACCCAAAAAATCGGTAATATCAAGAAAGTACCAAGATCAAGCTGTCCATACAGCGCTCGAAAAAGTGATGCATCGATCGGTACATCCAATCGACGTCGTCGGCGCTGCTCGGATTGAACCCAAGCCTTTTCACGCGCATAGTTTCCAACTGACTGCGGTTAGAGTAGTTATCTCCAGGGATCGCTTCCAAACGAAGCGCCGAGCAGATCTTAAAATTCGTACTAAGGTCGAAATTTATCAATATTCATAATAAAACAGCGTCTATAGTTGAGACCAATCTCAGCTTTTTAAAATTTTTCTGATTTTTCTAACCGTTAAGCAAAAAGTTCATAATCAAGACAAGTCCAAGTCACAAAATTAGCATCGATGAGTCATTCAGTTTTACAATTTTTTCTAAAGTTTTGATGACGTGATTTTTCTATTTATATATTTTAGAGATCACCTTTCCTTGCTCCATCGACACGCAAGTGACCTCCGAAGGGATTGAAAGGTCGTCGAATTGGTAGTTTTCGTTGGAAAGCGTCAAGACGCAGAAACGACGCTTGCGAATCACGTCCTGAAAAATCTCCGAGATTTTTGAGGATCGCCTTCGGAAGCACAATGCCCTTTTGAAAAATAAAAATTTCGAAAAAAGCGCTATTTTTAGTGCGTTGAATGGTTAGAATAGGCTCAAGAGCATATTTTTGAGAAAATTCGGACAAAAATTTTTGCTTCAAAAATCCTCCTATCTTTTGCTGCGTGGTGAAATGGCCCAAAATTTGTCAAGATAAAAATTGGCAGTCTCAAAATTTTTGAGCGAGAAATTGGCAGTCACAAATGTTTCAAGCTAAAAATTGGCAGTCCCAAAAATTTCGAGATAGAAATTGGCAGTCCCAGATTTTTCGTTAATAAATTTGGCAGTCCCAAAATTTTCGAGCTAGAAATGGGCAGTCACAAATGTTTCAAGCTAAAAATTGGCAGTCCCAAAAATTTCGAGATAGAAATTGGCAGTCCCAGATTTTTCGTTAATAAATTTGGCAGTCCCAAAATTTTCGAGCTAGAAATGGGCAGTCACAAATGTTTCAAGCTAAAAATTGGCAGTCCCAAAATTTTTGAGCGAGAAATTGGCAGTCCCAAATCTTTCGTTGATAAACTTGGCAGTCCCAAAAATTTTGAGATAGAAATTGGCAGTCCCAGATTTTTCGTTTATAAATTTGGCAGTCCCAAAATTTTTAGTTGATAAATTTGGCAGTCCCAAAATTTTTAGTTGATAAATTTGGCAGTCCCAAAATTTTCGAACTAGAAATTGGCAGTCCCAAATCTTTCGTTGATAAATTTGGCAGTCCCAAAATTTTAGTTGATGAATTTGGCAGTCCCAAAGTTTCTGTACTTGAAAGCTTGAAATAAAAACCAAAGTTTATTCATCTAGTCGCTGTTTTTTGACCTAAACTTTCATTCTTTCCTCTACTCACGATATCAGTGTCGCCGCGGAAGACCAGCTTGTCTTGAAGGAGCTGTCGAGCGCCAGCCCTGTCCAGCCCACGGATGTGCTCCCGCTCGTGGAGCTCCTGGAAGAGTCGGGAATTGACGGCCGGCGGGGCCGGATGCGACGGTTGATGAGCCGTCGCTACGTTCGCCTCGCGAATCCGAAGCGGTGTCGAAGACGTCAAGCGCTTCTGAAAGAATCGATAAAGTCAGAAAATTTCTGCTAAAATCATTGGAAAAGTCTTGCATGACTTAACAAACTCTAAAAACGGCTCTTCCCCACGAAATCTTTATTAGTATGATATGCCTATGCTCCTTTTCTCAGCAAGATGTTAACAGAAAACGTTCGAGTTTCAGAAAGATCTTCAAAGCTAGTTTTTATAAATTGATTTGAGTTTTTTTGCCTATTTTCCTGTACCAATTCATGTTGGCCACGTTGGGGCGTATGACGTTTACGCTGCTTCGCAAGGCGTTCATCTCTTGATTCCATGGTGATATGGCCGTCGCACGCTTCGCTCAGCTAAATACTCCATTCCTTGTTCGAAAAAATTGCACGAAAAGCTTGAAAAACTCAGGTAAATAGCAATTATTATAGTTTCCATAAAAGTAGAGAAATGAGTCCTATACCGGAATTTTTGAAAATTTGCTCGAAAAATCTCCGATTTCATATATAAAGTTTCTGAATTTTTGCTGAGTGCGATAAAAAAATTTTCTTTTTGTCAATGATAGAAGCTTCAATATTCACTTTCTTGAAAACCGCGCAAGAGAAAAATAAATTATTGTAAAAATTTTAATAAATCGCGCAGTTCGTGACGTTCAGAATCTACTACTCTTCTACATCGAAAGAATCTAAGTCTTGTAAGAATAGAAAGTCTATAAAATAATAGAAACGGAATAAAATGAAAAAGAAGGACAGGAGCGGAGACCGCAAAAAAAAAATGAATGATTTCCATTCGAAAACCTTTTTATACACGCTCGAATACACTTATCGATATTAGAGATCGCAAAATTTCGCACGGTGACTCACAATTTCTTCTTTTTAATCAAAACATATTTTTGCTCTTTAGCGATAAACAATATCTTTAAATTTACCGAAAATTGGACTTTCTTATCTTTAAGCTGATCATAGGAAACTACGTCCGTAAAAAAAAAATGTTAGTGGCCTTCTTAGAAAGATTTTCTGACACATTTTGAAAATAAAATTGATTTCGAAAAATCGTTCTCGAGTTGCTACTAAAACTCTCCAAAAAAAATCTGCCTAAAAAATGGAAAATAGTTGAAACATGACTTCCAATTTTGAAAATTGCCTTCTAAGGTGTAAACAGGTTCCATTAATAGTCCAAATACGTGGAAATAATTTCTAGTGCACAAAATTTTCGAAAGCACTTTCTTCTTCAATGCGTATGGCCTTCTCTACGGACAACAAGGAAATAATTAATTTCTGATCGAAAACTTTAAAATCAAGGAAGTTTTACATTTATTTTGGAATTATGTGGAAAAGTGGTCAGATTACTGCTTGATGTGCCACAATCCAGGAAAGTCCAAAATTCCTATTCTTCGAAAACTTGTGTCTCAATGAGTCATGCAGTACATCAAAAAGCATTAAAGTCAATTTCCACACGATCCGAATTCTAAGAAAATATCACTCCGTTCTATTTGTTCAAACACTGAAAAGGCCTAAAAGAACATCCAAAAGCGGTCAAAACTGTACAATGTTTACTGCGAAGAAAATTCCCATTCCCATCCGAAATTCGATAAACCCCCAGCTACTTTCCCAACCTTCGGAAAAGAAAAAACCTCGTGTCACAAAAGCCGTAAATGGCGCGGAGCAACTGTCTCTTCCCTCTAGACGGAGACGGGAAAGGGGCAGTTAGACAGTGTTGGTTTCAAGGAGGGGCCGGTAAGACGGTTAGAAGAGACACCGTTTTTCCGCGGTCCGAAACATTCTCATCAATCATGTTTTTTGCGATCAAGATGGTTGAAAGGTTGGGAAAATCTGATATGATCGCTTTCTTGGGAATTTTTGGGCATAGAAGTTTCATGAAGCTGAATACGGCTCTTCGCCTCAAGACCTTTATGAAATTTGTCATTCCTCTTTTGAAAACTAGAACAGAATACAAAATCCAATTTTGTAAAAAACAATTATGCAAAACGATAGGGTGAATGAAAATCTTGAAAAAACATAAAAAAAGCCCAAAAATTTCCTAACCGAACCGTCTAAAATTGAAAAAAGAGGTCTGAAAAACCGTACAATAACCTTTTTTCCATACAATCGAATTTTTCCCAAAAAAATTTTGGAGCTCGTTCCGCAAATTTTCGACAGGACTACTCACAAAAATCGTTTTCCTAATATATAATATAGTTGGATTTCCAAAATTTCTAATTTTCCTTTTCCCCCTCTTCTTCTCAGAGTTAATAATAGGAATTCGGAACATTTCGAAAATTCAAAATTTAATGAACGTGAGCTTTTTTTGAACTTTCAAGTGATAGAGCGGAAAACAAAGGGAAGGTGAAGGATCTCAAAATTCTCCTAAAAACTGAACAAAGCATCAGTTTCTTCTTTGTAGCATCATTTCCAACGCTCTTCTTACTATTAAACTCTGTTTATTTATCCGAAAAAATACCGTTCAATGAGGAAGGTTCTGCGTGAAACAATTCCAGGAAGATCTATTGAGGGAAGATTTTGAGAAAAAATTTGAACTTCTTTGAATAACTCAAAAACGCACCAAAGACGACAGCGATACTCTCTATAGTTTGACCGGAAATTCGGCGCTAGGAAAAGATCGAGTTTATTTCGTTTTTTTTGCCAATCTCTTCTGTTCTTCAACTTTTTTTAACTTTTTGATAAATCATAATAAATATACAGTTGACCCATTTCCACTGTTTCTAGCTGTTATAATCAATTACGATAAGCTCAACATCAAAAATAAAAGCTAGCTCGTGTCGTAGCGCGAGAAATTCGTTCAAAATCATATCCCAAACACAACTTTGTATCAATAACACGTGAAAAAAAAAGTTAGGGTCCACTTTAGGGCTTTTTTAGAAAGAGCATCTGTAAGCACAGCATCTGTGCTCTTTCGAACACCTATTTTGACTAGAAATACGAGTCAAAATAATAAAAAATTAACAATACAAAGAAAAAAGTTTTGAAGAACAGAATGACGACTTTTCCAAACTCTCCCCTTATATACGTTTTTGGAAGCCCAACAGTTCGAACACCATTCAAAAATTGAATTATCAAGCTCTCAGGCGTTTTAAAAATGACTCAAAACTATCAAATTCCTTTCTATTCCATTTCCTGACCACTGTAAACAAATTCGATCCATCAATTACCACTATTTCCTTTTAGCTTCATCTCAAAAAGCTCCCATACACAGAAAATCCAAGTCAAAACTCGCTGTCTCCATTGGAAATTGAAGAGGGTAGACGAGAATAATCGCATCGACGATATTGGCCAAAAACAGGTTCGAGAAATGTCGTGAAAAATGAAAGAAACTTTGGACGAAAAAAAAAGATACGATTCTTACAACGAAAGGTCCAGGAATCGAAGACTTCCCGGTCGCTGGGCTAATTTTGCATGAAAATCGATGATGCAGATAGGAAACTGCTTAAAATTTTAGTGGAAACTTTTTAGTGGCCACTGTAAGGTCTTGGCGGTTTAGTGGCCACTATAGTAGTCGGATAAGGGGCCACTTAAGAGGCTCAAGTTTAGTGGCCTCTTTACAAGTCTAAGTGGTACTATCAAAAACTACTAAAGTGGCCACTATGTCGCAAAGAAGTGGCTTCTATGGAGGTGGTTTTAGTGGCCACTTTAGTGCCCTCTCCAAGTAGTCTTTTGGAACCTCTTGAGTGGCCACTAAATTTGTCCCTAGTTCTCCTAATTTTAGGCATCCAAAAAAATTTGAATGCAGGTCTGAACAGGGGAAAACTTGTCCGTTTGCTTCTTTTTCATTCAAAAACACTTTCTTTTTTTTTCAAACTGTTAACTCAAACTCGATTTTCTGATCGAAATGGGTATTTAAAGGAGCATAGACAAACTCATTCAAATTTAAAAAAACGAAGAGCCGTTCTCAGTATAAATCCAATTTAATGCAAGACTTCCGTGCCTTCAAAAAAGTATTATTGAAATTTAATTTTGTCTTTCTTTGAGAGCCAATATTACACCCGCTAGCACTTTCACATCAAGTGAAATTTGAAAAAGAGCATTTTCAAGGTCATTCTCCCCCTCGGTACGGACCTGAAGATCCTGCTCATCAACAGTCCTTCTGGTGCCCTTTTTCAGGGTCTCCGGGTTGGCGTCGCCGCCGCTTTGCTGCCAGGTGCACGGCGGAAGGGCGTCGCTTGGCATCGTGCCAAACGCCGTGTCATTGTCGCCGACCACTGCAACTGATTTGAATCTTACTTTTTGGCGCTCATCACGTGTCTTGGCGCTCCGCCAAAACAACCAGTGACAAGCTTTACTGAGGTAGAGATACTACAAGTTAAAAAAGAAGGCTATTTTTTGGGGAATCGCCGAATTTTCCTCAAAAAAAGGTTCAGAATTATATCTTCCAATATAAAATTCAACATTCCTCCCAAAATTCTCTGCTGGAGTCTTTGAAAAGCCAGGAAGCTTTATGTAAAGAAAGAAAGAACAAAATGAAAAAATTGGAAGTTACGATATAAAAAAATGATGCGTCTCAATAAGAGAACTGAACAGTTTCCAAAAAAAAAAAGCTTCATAATGTAATTCTGAGTATTATTTCTTTGTTCGCAGATAATTACACAGAAATCTAGCCGTATTTCGTCCAAATAAAATGAGAAATAGAAAAAAAAACAGCATTTGACTCCCCTTCATCTTCATTCAAAGAAAAGCTTCAAAAAAAAAAATAATGAAAATATTATCCGTTTATCTGAGATTTATGGAGGCTTCTGAGGTAGGTATAACTTTGCCAGGGACTCGAAAACATCACTTTTGAAAAGGAGCGAAATTTTATTTCCAACGAAAACTTTCAAAAGAAAAATCTTGAATTCTTTCTCATTTTCCGGCCCAAGTACGTTTATTTAATAGTTCTTATTTGACGTCCTAGTCTTTTTCTAGGACCTCTAGAACCATAAAAATGAAAATATAAACCTGGCATGAGTTCTCAAGTTGATGTTTCACCAAAATGAACTTCTTACACGTTTACTTTCTTTTTTTTTCCAAGTACTCTTTTGCTTTTTTAACGTAATTCAAATCAGAACGCACTTTAAGTTTATATCGTTTATCAAATGCTTCAAGGCAGCGATCGGCGAAAAAAAAGCATAACAAAGTGACAAAATAAAAAGTAAAAAAAATTCAAGGCGGACACGTATTGGGGATTTGGGGGAGGTGAGGCGTATAATTAATCAATTTGAAAAAAAAGATCGAGTCGATTTGAGATTTGGACCGGGACTATTTACAATTGGTTAAAGTTCTAGTCAGTGGGGGAACACTAAAAAGAAGGCAATGAGATCGTTTGGAATGGTTAGGGCAAATTTCAATTCGAAAAAATCAATTTTTTAAAAAATATTAATTATTTTACGCGGAGGCCTTGGCGGCTTTAGCTTTGGGCGCTGCCTTCTTGGTCGGGGATTTCTTGGCGGCCTTGGGCTTGGCAGGTGACTTGGTCGTGGCCTTCTTCACTGCGGACTTGGCGACCTGGAAATAGGATATGATTAATTCCAGATAATTATTTAAATATTGAAGCTATGAAACCATTTTTTTGGTTCAATAACTTGAATTGATGTTAAAAATCACCTTAGGAACGGGAGCAGCCTTTTTCTTTTCAGCAACGGCCTTCTTGGGGCTGGAAGCAGCCTTAGCTTTTGGCTTGGCGGCAGCCTTGGCCTTCGGCTTCTTGGGCGACTTGGTGAGAGCCTTGGGCTTGGCGGCAGTCGGGGCCTTCTTTGGCTTGACGGTGGATGGAACATCGGAGGCGAGCTTGAAGCGGCCAGAAGCTCCAGTGCCGGCGGCCTGAGTCAGAGCTCCGCTGGAGACACCACGCTTGAGAGCCGATCGGAGGTGGCTGTTGATCTGGAAAATAATGTAATTTAGAAAATTTATCAAACTTTTAAAATTTTTGTCATTGACAATAAAAACTCTGAATATTCAATAGAAAAAAAACCAACCGAAGCGACGTTCTCGCCGAGTTTGTAGTTTTGGCTGATGTACTTGAGGATAGCCTGCTTGGAGGCTCCCTTGCGTTCCTTCAGAGACTTGATGGCGGCCTTGACCATGCTGTTGTATGGTGGGTGAGCTGGAGCAGCGGCGGCGGTCTTGGCCTTCTTTGGCTTCTCAGCCTGAAAAATAATGAAATTAAAATTGAAGTCGGGATAATCTCGAAGTTGAGTTAAAATGCAGAAAAATTCCAGAATTGAGGTCAAAAAGTACCTTGGTCTTCTTGGAAGGCGTGCTGGCGGCAGGGGCAGCGGCGACTGGAGCAGCGTCCGACATTGTAGAAGTTGTTTTGGAGATTTGCAAGAAGGTGCAACAAAAACGAAGATCGGTCCGGAGGAGCGAATGAGGCGACCGAGGCCGCCGCTCCGCTTATATACCACGCCGTGCCCCCGCGCGGGGACTCCTCCTCACAGCCTTGCAGGCAAGTCGAATACCCTTGCGCCAGCTGTTGAACTCGCTCGAGAACTTCGCCTCGTTCAGAACAGTTTCAGAATTTCATCAAAACATACTTATATGACTTTGAAGCCCGAGGCTGGAGCTACATTTCAGTGAAAGGGCGACGAAAATTGAGCATTTTCAAGTGTTACAGCGACGCTCAAACTTTAGGTTGTGTTTTTTCGCACGATTGGCATCAGATTATCAGCTGGTGTTTGTCGGCTGATTGATATTGTCGATTTCAATCTTCAGAATATGAAAGCCAGATCTTTTAGCTTCACCATAATGCAAATTATTCAAAGTTTCATCGACGAATACCATACCAGCGGTTGAGTTTTTTGAAGCATGGAACACTATGGATCGATTTTGACCAAATTTTTTCCCATGAAGATCTCGGATTTTCAAAATCTGTTGTATACCATTCGATAGGAAATTTAATTGTCTATCGATTGTTGTCAAATTCATTAAGATCGGTTCAAGTTGAGCATTATTCCGACGGTCGGAACGAAACGCATTTGGTGGTCGGAGTGAGGGCGGCGACGGCGGCCGCACCCTCTTCCTTCATGCCTCTCGACACAAACACCCTCCAGCCATCTTACTTTTGTACTTTTTCATAATTTGGATGATTTATGGAGGCTCGGGACGCATTTTCGAGTTGTTTCAGGAAGTTACAAGTAGATGAGGTACATGGAATCGATGAATCTGTCGGCTCTCCAGTGATCTCCGACTTATTGGTTAACAGAGCGGATCAAGTGTCAACAAGAACTGAAAATCGACTTGGAATTCTCATTCGGATTCCAAATAGCTTGATATTCAGAAAAAAAGAAATTATATCTTTGAAATATTAATAAAAATGTAAGAAAAAGCTGAAAGGGTCCAAAGATCAACCCGAAGCGGAAATGCGAAAAGAAATGAATTATTTTTCCGACTTTTTTTTCGTTGTTTTCCAATTTTTTCATATGGATCGAAGGAAGATGTTGTAAAGGTTCACCATATGGATGAAAAATCTTTGATTTATCATACATTTAAGAGTAATCTTCCATTGTAGCCTTGCGCATTGTGGAAGGTCTCCGCGGCATTTTCTCCTAAATGAAAAGGATAGGATAGCGAATTTTTTCCATTTTCCATCTTTTTAAAGCTTTATCTTCGCTTCTAGGTATCCATACTCAAATTTTCAAATTTTTGACATAATTTTTTGCCTTCCACATCCCCCAATTATCACATTTCACACGCCATCAACATGGAGGTGATAATCTGCCAATTTTTTCTGATCGAGGATGATTTTTCTCCATGTTTCGAGCAAGAATGCGAAGAAGGCTTGGAGGTGCTGGAAAATTGAAGAGATCATAATATTTGAGCTTCTCATCTTAGATCAGCCTGGAAATTTGAAAAGGTAACTTGAAAAAGTATTGAACTGAAAAGTAAAAAAGTCTCTTTCAGTTCAGGATTGCGATTCCGATAAAAATTATCCTGATTTTCTTCCTTTTTTTTTTCTTTCATGAAGTTTTAATATTACTGTATTGGAAAAAAAGATACCGTATGGATTACTGTGATAGTATTTTTTCATTATGAAAAAGCTCGATGAATATAATTTTTTTTAAAAATTTTTTTCAAGTTTTTCTGTCTTTTTTTGACTTTTCCAGGACACGGTATCTTGCCAGGTCACTGTAGACTCTTAATTTTTTCAAAATAGTGTTTTTATAATCAAAAACATTTTCGAGTTTTTCCAGGTTACGGTATCCTGATTGCTCCTTGTAGATTTTTGATAATTTCAAAATTGTGTCATTATTAAAAAATGTGTCTAAAAATATTCAAAAACAAGTTCTCCAATAGAAAACGACAATGGAACGGTCAGATGAATAAGATTTACCAAAAAAACAACCTTTTTAAAATTTTTTATGATCAAATTTGGAAATTAGCTCTAGTGAAAGTGTTCCAATTATTTTTCTTTATCCCTTTTCTCATCAATTTTCTTGCTTTTTTATGAAAAATCCACCAAAAACACACATTTCCATCCGAGTATATGATAGTTAATAAATGAAGCATGAAAAGAGATGAGGAGAAGCTGAGTGAGAGAAAGCCCCGCGCAGCAGAAGCTTAGAGCCTTTTTCCATGATTGAGCAATCCCCGAGAGGCAGATCTTTCCTTTCTCTTTTTCGAATATTGCCTTGTTTTGAACAAGACGTTTAGAAAATAAAGTATTTGTTGGGTTTTGAAAAAAATGGGAAGGATAAAGGATCAATCTCCAGGTCGAGAGTTAAAATATAACCAACTTGAAAAAAACTGAAAAGGGACTCTAAAAAAATAGAAGATTGGAAGAAATTCTTGGAAAAATCGTTGTTTCAGGTTCATATTCTAAGAGAACCTGTATATTTAAAAAAATGTCAAAAATTCTGATATTTCCATCACGGAAAGCTCCAAATTTCATTTCAGATCAGTCTTATAGGACAAAAAAATGAAGATAAATGAATTTGGATCGATGAATTTCAATTTTGATATACTTTTCTACAGAAAAAGGTTCAAAAAAACCTGAAAACGCTTTTTTTCGACGGAAAGTACATTTATTACACCCCCCCCCCAATGTCCTTCCTGCCTTTATAAGGTGAATATATAAATCTAAAACCAAACTACTTTCATGAAAATCCATTATTTTTGTTCTGGCTTCGTTTTGTACTGTAAAGAATAACAAGACTTGTATCTGTTTTACTGTAAAATTACTGTAAAAAAATCTTTAACATTTTCCAAAAACTGAAAAAAGGTAAAGATATTTGAGTGAGCCTTTTAAAATAACATTTTTCATTTTCACCAAAAAAATAAGCTTCCCCCTTGCTCACCACTTTTAGCACAGCAAAAATTCAAAAAAAAATCCATTTTTTTTTCTCAAAATCTTATCAAGTCACGTGGAACACTCTTTCTTATCACGGCCATTCAGCTGATGAAAAGATTATTTTCATTTTGTCTCCAAAGAAAAAATATTACTTTCTGCAGGGAAAAAAAAGATAACGCCGAAGGACTGGAGTGTTTTTTTCAAAGTTCAGAAATTTGTGAAAAAAATATTTTAAGGATTTCTGAAAAAAAGGTAATTTTTTTCCTTTTGTTCGAAAAAAATTTCTGAGAAATCGCTAGAATGCTCTTTGATGTTCCAAGTGGAATTCCTGGAAGTCTCAACACGCTCTTTGAAAAAGCCCACAGTATCAAGAAAAAAAGTTCTTTAACTTAAGTCTGATGGTTTTCATAAAAATTAAAAAAACTTATTTCTAGATAATTGGGAAATATTTCAGGCTGTGAGACTTTCAGAACTTTTACCTGGAATATCAAGAAATGGTCGATTTTCAGAAAATCCCAGTCGCAACGTTAATTATCGAAAATAACTTCTGATAAAAGTTCTCTCGAACTGTCAAAGGTGTTATTTTCCATTTAACGGTGAATTTGCTTGTAAGGGCCTATTAAAATTGGAAATTCAATTTTTTTGTTATTTTTGGATCATTTTATAGCTAGGGACCGCAGACGAACTTTCAAAAAAAATTTTTCAGCATTGAGCTTTGTATGGTTTGATAGCTGTTTCGATTCCAAACTCAGAACCGTTCAGTTTTTCGAAAAATATTGAGGATGAAAAAAGTTATGACGAAAAATGTGGCGCGCCGCGCACCATTTTTTTAGTACTGAAATTTTGGTATTATCCATTTTGAAATTTTTCTCGATTTTTCTTCTAGAACAAGTTTTGATACTGGTCTATTATGATGTAACAAATCATAATAGAGTGCTAAAATGATGCTCATCAGCTAGTTTGCCGAAAAAGTCGGTATTTTCCAGAAAACAAAAAACTGACGCTTGCGGGCATCGAACTCGCGACCTCAAAAAGAAATTTGGCAGCGCACGCGCTGCGCCAAGCTGTTAGGTCTAGCGAGGGGAGCTTCCATCCGCCATACCCTTTGAGCCGTTTGAATAGCACAGATTGCCTATTTCAAAAAAATAAAAAAACTTGAAGTAATCAAGCTATTTTTTTATCAGAATATGTTCGCAAATCTTTACTCAAACTTTCCGTGAAAATTCACTTCGAAAAAAACTGTTTTTTTAGTGCTTTTTTTCCTCGTTTAACGATCGCTGCCTTCAAACGGCCCCGTAAATTTTTTTGGCAAAGACGAATTTTTTTATTTTATTCTTTTTAATTGAAAGATTTTTTTACTAATAAATGTATATAATCGTTTAAAAAAACCTGCGTTCGACCGCTTTCTGTATGATAAACGCCGCTAATTTTATTCTCTAGTTTCAAGAGCATTTTTTTGTGTATTAAACAACTTTTTTTCAAGCACATATTTTGTGGAGAAATATTCAAGTAAGCCCATGATCTAAATTTTGAAAAAAGAAAAACTCGATTATATTTGCATATTAACGATATTTTGAATTACGACTTTCGGCAGTCCCTAAAAATTTTTTTGGCAAAGACGAATTTTTTTATTTTATTGTTTTAAAATTACCGTTACTTGAATCAAAACCATTATTTAAAAAAGAAAGAGTGCGTTCGACCTGAAAAACACATAAAAAAAGCAAAAAAATGACAAAAATTTTTAGTTCCATTCACGTTTTTTTGTACGACATTCCGCGAGAACGCATCAAAAAAAGCGTGAAATATTTTTTTAAACGAAAGAGGAAGCTTTTCTGTACATGTGTGTCAAATTTTATAAGCCAGTTCCACATATTTTGCAACTAAAACAAAATGAAAGTTGAAAACCAAAAAAAAGCCACTTTTTCTATCGCGAAAAGGGGCGTGGCTTTGCGGTCCCTATTTATAGCAGCTGGAACTGAATATCCTGAAAATTGGCAAGAACACTTCTTGATGTACTCCATGAAGATCCTGAACGTCTCAACCTACCCAACTTCCTGGTTTTCGAGAAATAAGGGCCTAAAGTCTCGAAATAGCCTATTTTTTTGGGTTTTGACTGTTCTCTACAACTTGGTTTCGTAGGTTCAGACTTTCAGAATCTTCTTCTATTACATCAAGGAACTTTCTGGCCAATTTTCAGGAGAACCCCAACCGAAAAGTGAATTGACCTTCTTTGTGAAATATTCAAGAAGAAATTCTATATCAATTACATTATATTATAGTCAATGTTTCCCGACTTGAAAGGCGTGGGAGGCGTGGCAAGGGGCGGGACGCGTAGCGTGTGCGTACGCGGTTCTTGGCACGTGTTCAATTCAACCGCTAGCGAGCATTCAGAGAGCTTATTTATTGCTCTTTTCACTTATTTTTTAATTATTTATCGATTATGTTCATGTGTGCATCAAAAAATAGAAGAAAATACAGAAAAAGAGCGGTGGCCGAGCTTTTTAAATAGTCGGCGGCGATTGAATTGAACTGGCGCCAAGAACCGCGTACGCACACGCTACGCGTCCCGCCCCTTGCCCCGCCTCCCTCGCCTTTCAAGTCGGGAAACATTGACTATACCTTTCAGGACTGAATCCTCACAAAGAACTTTTCAGTGCTCCACATTGACTTTTTCTGTCGAATATCTTTTTTCGGAGAAAAATTCCGATAAGTGAAGTTTGATGATTTAAATTTCTGATAATTTGCTGAAACCAGGCTAATTAGTACTCTAAACCCGCTTGATTTGAAGGAAACTTTGACGCCTTTTTAATTTCAGCCCAGGTTACGCCTCTTCATCAAATCGAAGGAAATAAGAAGTATTATTATTATTTTTTTTTAAAGTTAAAGCTCGAGTAAAAGGCTGAAGACTTAAACTTGTACAAAAGTTTTGAAAAAAGTACTCGTAAGACCTAATTTCAATAATTTCAAAATTGTCATTTTTTCTTGTCCTTAAAACGTTCTCCCTTCAATTTTCGAGCTTTTTATGTTTTTTTTTGTTTTTGAGGCACTGTCGGAGGCTCGTGAATTGCCTTTTATTTATTTATTTCAGGCTTAATTGCCAATTTTCCATTCTTGTACATATTATTTTGTTCTGCCTGTAAATAAATATAATATTATTAACTCTGTTTGATTACCGTAACCCGAGCTTAATTCCCATCGAAGAAGTGAGCAACACCTGCACCCAAGTGACGCCACACCGGAGTTTCTTGGCATCCGTCCAAATTGATGGGCGTGGCCTTTTTAGGTTACTGTAGCGTTGGGAGGTCATTAGCGATTCTACAAGTCGCTCAATCAACCGGAGAAAGGTCTCAGAAAAACCAATTAGTCTGGTTTGAATTTTTCCGTTTTTCAAGTTTTAAAAGTTCGGTAAGGTTCAGAAATTTCTAGATTAAAAAATTGCAGATGGACGTTTTTACAGCCGAGTGTCAGAATCAGGAATTCTTTTTCCATCTCAGAAAAAATGTCGAAAACCGCTCAGTTTTGCTAAAACCTTTGAAATCATTATTTCTCAAGAAATATATAACACGGCGTTCCCAAACGGGGTGGGAGACGTCAAAAAAATTTTGGCGCGAAATTTGAAGTCTCAAGTACGCAGCCAAATGTATTCTTCATGCCGTTGAATACTCAGTTTTATTTGCAACGATAGGCTGTGACGTCACAGTTCTTTTATCTGAAGCGCGCACTTACTTTTTTTTGTAAATTCAGAAACCTCGCTCACCTTCCCTCACTTTATTAGGAATTCCGTGATAAATTGGACTTTCTCTGGTCTAAAATTGTCTGACATGAAAAATGAAAAATCTCAGAATCCTCTGAACCAATCAAGACAAAAATAACACTAGTTCAATCTTTATCACTATCCTTTGAATCAATAATTGTAACTGGACTTGGAGATTATTTTTTTTATCAAGATCAAGTTTCCCAGTTAACTTTTAACAGAATCCAAGTTTTAACCAAGTTTATTCGACTCGAAAGCTGTAAAGTCGGGTCAAATGACTCTCTCCGCAGTAACGAGATCTGCTCAAGCCGCAGAGGCCGTAAAACAGTCAATTTAAAAAAAACAGCTGAAACTTTGTTTCTCCAAGTGAAAGTGTGGTTCTTGAAGTTAGTTTACAAACAAAGGTGCTAATAATTTTCATAGTCCACATCTGCTCGAGAAAATCTGTTGATACTCAAATTTTCGAGATTTAGATCCCGGGTTTCACCTTCAAATCACAATTTTGAGTTTACCTAGCCGGATTTTTCAATAAAAAATGAGAGTTAATAGAAACTTGGAGCCTGTGGCCTAGTCCTACATTTAAATCAGATTCAACTTCATCAAATATTTATCAAAAAAATAGCTCCAAAAATCTGTCAGAGAGTCGTTTTTAAAAATCGGAAAATCTTTAGGTATCTTTAAAATGTTTTTCTAGAGCTTTTTGAGTGACTACTTGAGTGATTTCTGACATTAATATGATAAAAAAACATTATCAAGTCATAAAAGGCAGCTGTTCCCAGAAATATCCAGAAAGAGATGACGCCCGTTTTCCTTGTGGTTCACATTCTGATTTTGAAGCCTTTTTCGATTGAATTTAAGAAAATTTCTTGTCTCTGAACTAGCTAGGGCATCAAGGAGAATCCGCGAAGCTCATAGTCCATTCATAAGAGCTCCATTAAGTTCGGATCCAACCCAACCAAATCATCGGAACCCGATGACGTCATCCTCGAGCTTCCTCGGCAGTCAGTCCAGAAGCTTCCCAACTTACCTGAGTAGAGCATAAAAAAGCCGCGAAGCCCATAGTCCATTCATAAGAGCTCCATTCAAATCGGATTCAACCATATTATCAAAACCCGATGACGTCATCCTCGAGCTTCCTCGGCAGCCAGTCCAGAAGCTTCCCAACTTTCCCCTGAGTAGAGCATAAAAAAGCCGCGAAGCTCATAGTCCATTCATAAGAGCTCCATTAAGTTCAGACCCAGCCCAACCATATCATCAAAACCCGATGACGTCATCCTCGAGCTTCCTCGGCAGTCAGTCCAGAAGCTCCCCAACTTCCACCTGAGTAGAGCATAAAAAAGCCGCGAAGCTCATAGTCCATTCATAAGAGCTCCATTAAGTTCGGATCCAACCCAGCCAAATCATCAAAACCCGATGACGTCATCCTCGAGCTTCCTCGGCAGTCAGTCCAGAAGCTTCCCAACTTCCACCTGAGTAGAGCATAAAAAAAGCCGCGAAGCTCATAGTCCATTCATAAGAGCTCCATTCAAATCGGATCCAACCATATTATCAAAACCCGATGACGTCATCCCGCCAGTTCTCGAGCTTCCTCCCTCGGCAGCCATTCCGTTGTGACGCAATCGCTCATCTGAGGACGCGGATGACGTCATCGCGAGAACGCAAATTGGCGCGCAAACTGTAGAGACAGGCGGGCGTCCAGCTGTTGCAACAGGAGAAAGGCGTCGATTGCGCCATCTTTCGGGCGCTTCGGTTCGTTTTTGAAGTGGAGAGGAAGACATATTGAAGCTTGGGAACGCTGGGGAGGCTCAAATTGCTGTTATAAAAATATTTATATATGTTTTTTTCTGAAAAAGGAGGAGGCTTCTAGGAAATCCGCCAGAAAACTCTCTAAAAGTCAATCGGATTTTGAAAAAGGATGGTTTCAATCCTTAAAAAATCCCTTCAGAACCAGTCATTGAGGTCTCATTTTTTGAAAAGTCCCTGTTTGAGAATTCCAGGATCTTAATCTGGTCCATCAAATGAAATTTTTCAGAAAATTTGAGCTTCTGAGTTTCAAAAAATCTTCTCAGAAGCTCTTCTATCCTTAGGCTTCAACAAAATATACCAATTTTTTTCATGTTTACTTGAATTTTTTTCAATAAATATTCTCCTCAAGTTGTTTGACACATTAAAGAGTTCTGAAAAAAAGCAAAAACCTCCAAAAAATATTGAAAGAATGAGAATCTTGCTCTTCGTTTTCTCGGTTCCAAGGACATTATTTTTTTGAAAAATCTCCTTTTTTTGCAATATTTTGGAATATTTCTCCTAGCAAATCCCTGTAAGTTTGATTACTAATACATTTTTTCATGTATTTACGAAAAAGAAAAAGTTTTTCAATCAATAAATTTAAAAATCTAATAAAAAAAGTAGCTATGGTAATTTCCCATTATCGGATCCGCCATGGAGACTTGAAGCCAGGGAATTTGACTCGACTCCTTTTTTAATTTCCGTAAAAAGTCACGTTTTTTTTTTTCCAAATTTCTCACGGTTTATGAAAAAAATTTTTTTACGATTCCAACTTAAATCGAACATTCATCTATTAAAAATCAATCCAAAGTAGCCGTTTTGACGTCAAAAAAGGCCTTTGAGCTCAATTTAGCTTCAAAAAAGCCATAAATTACTATTTTTTCTTTTTCCCCACACAACTTCTACATTAGCTTTCTTCAATGTCCCGAAAAAGCCTTGAAACTTCAACATTCCATCAACAAATTGCCATTAATCGTGAGAATTCCACGGCGATAACCATCTTTTCGGGGGCGAACCGTTCGTTTTGGCGCCAAAAACGATTCTGAGAAGGAGGGCAGATGGTGGCGTCCGAATATTTGATCGATTGTCTACCGGAGAGGGGAAGGGGCGTCCATTTTTATTGGGATTTGGAAACAGGAAAAGTTATAACTACTAAAAAAAGAAAAATGGAGGGAAAATGTGGCGAATTCCCGATTGAAAATGGTGTTTTCTTCTGTAAATTTGATGGGTACTTGGGAACTCCAGAGTGGTTCCTATAGGGGCCCTCGAAGAGTCCCCCCTAGTGTAGGGACCGCAGACGAACTTTCAAAAATTTTTTTTCAGCATTGAGCTTTGTATGGTTTGATAGCTGTTTCGATTCAGAACTCAGAACCGTTTAGTTTTTCAAAAAAGATTGAGGATGAAAAAAGTTATGACGAAAAATGTGGCGCGCCGCGCACCATTTTTTTAGTACTGAAATTTTGGTATTATCCATTTTGAAATTTTTCTCGATTTTTCTTCTAGAACAAGTTTTGATACTGGTCTATTATGATGTAACAAATCATAATGGAGTGCTAAAATGATGCTCATCAGCTAGTTTGCCGAAAAAGTCGGTATTTTCCAGAAAACAAAAAACTGACGCTTGCGGGCATCGAACTCGCGACCTCAAAAAGAAATTTGGCAGCGCACGCGCTGCGCCAAGCTGTTAGGTCTAGCGAGGGGAGCTTCCATCCGCCATACCCTTGAGCCGTTTGAATAGCACAGATTGCCTATTTCAAAAATAAAAACTTGAAGTAATCAAGCTATTTTTATCAGAATATGTTCGCAAATCTTTACTCAAACTTTCCGTGAAAATTCACTTCGAAAAAACTGTTTTTTTTAGTGCTTTTTGCCTCTTTTAACGATCGCTGCCTTAAAAACGGCCCCGTAAATTTTTGGCAAAGACGAATTTTTTTATTTTATTCTTTTTAATTGAAAGATTTTTTTATTAATAAATGTATATAATTGTTTAAAAAAACCTGCGTTCGACCGTTTTCTGTGTGATAAACGCCGCTAATTTTTATTCTCTATTTTCAAGAGCATTTTTTTGCGTATTAAACAACTTTTTTTCAAGCACATATTCTGTGGAGAAATATTCAAGTAAGCCCGTGATCTAAATTTTTGAAAAAAAGAAAAAAACTCGATTATATTCGCATATTAACGATATTTTTGAATTACGACTTTCGGCAATCCCTAAAGTTTTTGGCAAAGACGAATTTTTTCTTTTATTGTTTTAAAATTACCGTTACTTGAATCAAAATCATTATATAAAAAAAGAAAGAGTGCGTTCGACCTGAAAACACATGAAAAAGCAAAAAATGACAAAAATTTTTAGTTCCATTCACGTTTTTGTACGACATTCCGCGAGAACGCATCAAAAAAGCGTGAAATATTTTTTAAACGAAAGAGGAAGCTTTTCTGTACATTTGTGTCAAAATTTATTATCCAGTTCCACATATTTTGCAACTACAACAAAATGAAAGTTGAAAACCAAAAAAAAAGCCACTTATTCTATCGCGAAAAGGGGCGTGGCTTTGCGGTCCCTACCCTAGTGACCACATCATCAATCTCTATAGGGGCCACTAAAGCTTGCAAAAGTGGCCCTATAGGGGCAACCACAGGGGCCCTTGCATGGGTCCCCGCTAGGACTATACCAACCCCTATAGGGGCCACTAAAACTTGCAAAAGTGGCCTCTATAGGGGCCCTTGGACGGGTCCCCGCTAGGACTATACCAACCCCTATAGGGGCCACTAAAACTCGCAAAAGTGGTCCCTATAGGGGACATGCTAGTCAATAACTAAAAGCGAAGAAGAATTTCCATGGAAAAAACTGAATGAATATGGGTTTTTTGAATGAATTTGAAAGGCCCCTAAAAGGTCCACTTGAGCTTTAGGGGCTAAGGGGAATCTTAAGCCCTATAGGGACCACTTTTTCGGCCCCTTTAAGGGCTGTTTCCCCCTAACCCCTATAGGGACCACTCTGAAATCTTCAAGTAAGATCAAATTTCATCAAGAAAAGGTGAAATATGGATGAAAAATGTAAAATGTCAATTTTTTCTCATTAAAATGTTTTTTCTATATATTTTGAGCAAACTAGATACTAATAAAAAGATTAATTTGCCATGAAAATATAATCTACGTATGCAAGTGGCACCAAAAAAAATCCTTAAAAACGGACTTTATAGTGTTTTTTAAACGGCAAAGCTATGAAAACCCGGTAAAAAAAGCCAAAATATAATTTGATAACCAAATAAAATTATTTTATTTTTTAGGAAAGTTATAGAGACCTCGGAACTCATAGCAATATTTCAAATAAAATATTCTTGTTTTTGCATGGGACCGCCATTTTTCAAAGCTTTCAGTTGAAAAAAATTCCAAAGTTGTCGTCTTTTTGAAATTTCAGACCTCATCAGGCCAAATTTTCAAGATATTCTTTTTGATTGCTTCTTTTTCCGTGCTCGTGCAAAAAACAAGCATTTAATTTGCGTAAACGGGACTGGAATGCGTTGTGGAAACGACGTTTAGTGGATATTTTTCCACTGAAGTTTTTCGGGCTCTTTTTTTTTTCCTTTTCAACTTCAAACTAGAAACGTTGCGATTTTCCAACTTTCTTACGGAAGTTTTCCTTGAATCACAGCTACTACCATCCTTTTTGCGTAATTTTTTTCAACCCCCCGTTTTTTTCAACCCCCACAGAAGTAACCTCAAAAAAATATCGACGCTCAAAAAAACCGAATTCCAAGAAAAATTAAGATCACTCAAACTCAGAAATCAATCCATCATGATTCAACAAAAAAAAGTCTCCAAAATTCTAAAAAATCCATTTTTTAAAGAGCATTTTGTACTGGAGGAGTTCATTCTAAGCCATTTTAAAACAAAAAAAAATTATACTGGCCATCCAATTTTGAACCTTTCAAGCCTGCTTCAACTACAGCTCTTTTTAAAAAACCTCATAAAAAAATTACTAGCATAATATAACGTCAAAAATAAACTAGTTATCGGCCTTTATGACCCGCAAAAGCTCATTCTGAGCCACTCCGAAAAACAATAAAAAATGAGTGAAGATCAAGTTAGAGCTGTAGAACGATGAAATCTTAAAAAATCCTTTTCGGAAGCGATATAAACTGATTTCAGAGATGATGATCCATTCGAACTTGGAAAGGTAATTCTTTTTATCCCAAAAAATATCTAGGATTCAGAAAATCCAGTTTTTAGAAGCATTTTTGACTGGAGAAGGTCATTCTGAGCCATTCCAAAAATAACTCTAAAGGTTTATAGTTATTAAACAGGGCTTTTTTGTCCTTTATGAACCAAAAAGTAATTCTCAGTCATTCCAAAAGCAATAAAATAAAGACTGTACGTTAAATCAGAGCTATAGAAACAAGACGGGTGAAAAACTAGGAAAAAACGAGGTATTCCCGGTCAGAAGCGATGAAAACTGATTTCAATGAAGATAATTCCATTTAAAATCGGAAAGTCCATCATTTTCCAGTACAAAAAAGGCTTAATAACTTGAAAAATTCAGTTTTTGGGAGCATTTTTGACTGGAGAAGGTCATTCTGAGTCATTCCGAGAAATTCCATTTTAACTAAAAAAAATCCATTATTTTTAATCAAGCGTTTTTTAAGTTCAAAAAATCATAAATTAGGTTGTAGAAGTCATAGATTCCTGTTTCAGGTATCGAAAAAAATTCAGAATCATGTGCTTGATAATCCTAGATAAACAATATTTAAAAAAACCTTGAGGAAAACCTCAAAATGAAGAAAAAAACCTCAACTTTAGGTACTAATTGTCGTCCTTTATGTAGGGACCGCAGAGCCACGCCCACTTCGCTGTTCAAAAAACTTCGTCATTTTCGTTGCATTTTGGTTCTTTTTTATATTTTAAAACAGTTTTCTTGCACCGATTTGGGAAAAAATTGGGGGAAACATACAATCGGCTATGCTTAACAATCCTACATAAAAGAAAATAATGA